ACAAATCCCACAAATCCCCCAAATAAATCCCATCAATCCCATGTTAAATCCTGGTGAATCCCACAAACAAATCCCCTAAATCCCGTGACAATTCCCGGTGAATCCCACAAACAAATCCCACAAATCCCACAAACAAATCCCGCAAATCCCATGACAATTCCCGGTGAATCCCACAAACAAACCCCACAAATCCCCTAAATAAATCCCATAAATCCCCCAAACAATTCCCGTAAATCCTGTGACAATTCCTGGTGAATCCCACAAACAAATCCATAAATCCCATGACAATTCCCGGTGAATCCCACAAACAAACCCCACAAATCCCCAAACAAATCCCGCAAATCCCATGACAATTCCCGGTGAATCCCACAAACAAATCCCACAAATCTCCTAAATAAATCCCACAAATCCCATGACAATTCCCGGTGAATCCCACAAACAAATCCCACAAATCCCACAAACAAATCCCATAAATCCCGTGACAATTCCGGTGAATCCCACAAACAAATCCCACAAATCCCCCAAACAAATCCCGCAAATTCAGTGACAATTCCCGGTGAATCCCACAAACAATTCCCACAAATCCCTAAATAAATCCCGTGACAATTCCCGGTGAATCCCACAAACAATTCCCACAAATCCCCCAAACAAATCCCATAAATCCTGTGACAATTCCCGGTGTATCCCACAAACAAATCCCACAAATCCCCTAAATAAATCCCGGTGTATCCCATGACAATTCCCGGTGAATCCCACAAACAAATCCCACAAATCCGTGACAATTCCCGGTGAATCCCACAGACAAATCCCATAAATCCCACAAAGAAATCCCATAAATCCTGTGACAATTCCCGGTGAATCCCACAAACAAATCCCACAAATCCCCTAAATAAATCCCGTAAATCCCATGACAATTCCCGGTGAATCCCACAAGTGAATCCCGTAAATCCCACAGACAATTCCCATCAATCCCCAAAATAAATCCCATAAATCCCCAAACAATTCCCATAAATCCTGTGACAATTCCCGGTGAATCCCACAAACCAATCCACAAATCCCCAAACAAATCCCACAAATTCCGTGACAATTCCCGGTGAATCCCACAAACAATTCCCACAAATCCCCCAGACCAGTCCCGTAAATCCCGTGACAGTTCCGCACTTGTAGACCATGCCGTGGCAGACGATGACGGAGCCGTCGTCGGAGCCGGAGGCGAACAGGGGGTAGCGGCGGTGGAACGCCACCGAGCGCACGGCGCGGCCGTGGTGCCTGACGCGGGGAGGGAAAAGTGGGAATCAGAACGGGAAAAACAACCGGAAAAACACCGGGAAAAATGGAATTAGCACCAGGAAAAATGGGAATCAGAATGGGAAAAATACTGGAAAAATGGGAATTGGCAATGGCATAAACACCGGGAAAAATGGGAATTAGCACCGGGAAAAATGGGAATTAGCACCGGGAAAAATACTGGGAAAAATGGGAATTAGTACAGGGAAAACACTGGGAAAAACGGGAATTAGCGCTGGGAAAAACACTGGGAAAAATGGGAATTAGCACTAGGAAAAACACCAAGAAAAACACCGGGAAAAATGGGAATTAGCACTGGGAAAAATGGTAATCAGAATGGGAAAAATACTGGGAATCAGCAATGGGAAAAAATCAGAACAGGGAAAACCAGGAATCAGGACAGGGAAATCACCGGGAAAATGGGAATTAGCACTGGGAAAACAGCGGGAAAATGAGAACTAGAGCAGGAAAAACAACGGGGAAAATGGAATTAGCAGTGGGAAAAACACTGGGAAAAATGGGAATTAGAGCAGGGAAAACAACGGGAAAAATGGGAATTAGCACCAGGAAAAATACCGGGAAAAATACCGGGAAAAATGGGAATTAGAATAGGGAAAACACTGGAAAAATGGGAATTACAGCTGGGAAAAACACTGGGAAAAATGGGAATTGGCTCTAGGAAAAACGGGAATGAGAGCTGGGATAAACAACGGGGAGAATGGAATCAGAGCCAGGAAAACAATGGGGAAAATGGGAATCAGAACAGGGAAAAAGAACAGGGAAAAACACCGGGAAAATGGGAATCAGCAGTGGGAAAAACACCAGGAAAAACATCAGGAAAAACACTGGGAAAACCAGGAAGCACTGGAAAAACAGGATAGACACCAGGAAAAACTGGGAATTAGCGCCCAGGAAAAACGGGAATCAGCACTGGGAAAAACACCGGGAAAAACATCGGGAAAAACACCAGGATAAACAGGAATTAGAGCCTGGAAAAACACCGGGAAAAACGGGAATTAGCATCAGGAAAAACACCGGGAAAACAGGAATCAGCACAGGGAAAACTGGAATTAGAGCCTAGGAAAAACATTGGGAAAAACGGGAGTCAACAATGGGAAAACAACAGGAAAAATGGAAATCAGCGCTGGGAAAAACACCGGGATAGACACAGGGAAAAAAATGGAATTAGAGTCTGGAAAAATGGGAATTACCAACAGGAAAAACACAGGGAAAACCACTGGGAATAATGGCAATTAGAACCCAGGAAAAACACCGGGAATCAGCACTGGGAAAACGGGATAAATGGGAAAAAAAGGAATTAGAGCCTGGAAGAACAGGAATCAGAGCAGGGGAAATGGGAAAAACACCAGGAAAAATGGGAATTAGCACCAGGAAAAACACTGGAAAAAACGGGACTTGGAGTCTGGGAAAAACACCGGGATAGACACTGGGAAAAACGGGAATTAGAGTCCGGAAAACGAGAAAGACACGGGGAAAAACGGGAATCAGCACCAGGAGAAACGGGAATCAGCACTGGGAAAAAACACCGGGAATCAGGGAAAAACGGGAATCAGAGCCCAGGAAATGGGACAGACACGGGGAAAACCGGGATTTAGAGCCCGGGAGAATGGGAATCGGCACTGGGAAAGCGGGACAGACACAGGAACCCCAGGACTCACCTCAGCAGCCGGTAGGGCCGCGTGGACAGGTCCAGGTCAAACCAGGCCAGCTTGCTGTCGTAGCTGCCGCAGATCACGTTGTCCCCTAGGGAACAGCGCCGGGATCAGCGGGATCCCCTCATTCCCACCGGGAATCCCCTCATTCCCACCGGGAATCCCCTCATTCCCGGGGGGATCGCGCACCTCCGGGGTGCACGGCCATGCTGGAGATCCACTGGCAGTTGCTCTGCAGCTTCTTGGTGAGCTCCTGGCGCAGCAGGTTGTAGACGCGCACGGAGCGCTGCGAGGCCACCAGGAAGTAGGGCCGCACCGGGTGGAACCGCACGCACTGGATCATCCCCGGGCTCCTCCGGAACGGGTCCTGGCTCCAGCGCCGGCTGCTCTGGTGGATCAGCACCTGCCGGCCGCCCGGGTTCCGCACCACCGACGCCCAGTAGTCGCCCTTGCCGTGCCACGTCACCTGCGTCACCGGCTGGAACGGGATCAGGAATGGGATCCGGGTGAGATCCCGAAATCCCGACCCTCTGGATCATCCCTGAGCTCCTTAAGGTGGGATTGAGATGGAAATCCGAGTGAGATCCCAAAATCCCGACCCTTTGGATCACCGCCGACGCCCAGTAGTCGCCCTTGCCGTGCCACGTCATCTGCGTCACCGGCTGGGAATGGGAAAGAGAAAGGAACGGGATACAGGTGAGATCCCAAAATCCCGACTCTCTGGATCACCACTGAGGCCCAGTAGTCGCCCTTGCCGTGCCACGTCACCTGCGTCACCGGCTGGGAATGGGAAAGAGAAAGGAATGGGATCCAGGTGAGATCCCGATCTTCCGAATCATCCTGGAGCTCCTCAGGATGGGAATGCGAATGGGATTGCGATTGGGATCCAGGTGAGATCCCAAAATCCCGACCCTGTGGATCAACATCGGGGCCCAGTAGTCGCCCTGGCCGTGCCACGTCACCTGCGTCACCGGCTGGGAATGGAAATGGGATTGGGATTGGGATCTGGGTGAGATCCCGAAATCCCGACCCTCTGGATCACCATGGAGACCCTGGCTGTGCCACGTCACCTGTGTCACAGGCTGGGAATGCAATGGGAATGGGATTGGGATCCGGGTGAGATCCCAAAATCCCGACCCTCTGGATCACCACTGAGGCCCAGGAATTGCCCTTGCCGTGCCACGTCACCTGCGTCACCGGCTGGGAATGGGATTGGGATCAGAAATGGGATCAGGAATGGGATGCAGGTGAGATCCCAACCCTCTGAATCATCCTGGAGCTCCTCAGGATGGGAATGGGAATGGCATTGCGACTGGGATCCAGGTGAGATCCCAAAATCCCGACCCTCTGGATCACCCCAGAGCTCCTTGGGGTGGGAATGGGATTGGGAATAGGAATGGGATCCAAGTGAGATCCCAAAATCCCGACCCTCTGGATCACCATGGAGGCCCGGGAACCGCCCTGGCTGTGCCACATCACCTGCATCACTGACTGGGAACGGAATGGGACTGGGATATGGGTGAGATCCTGAGATTCTGACCCTCTGGATCATCCCAGGGCTCCTTGGGGTGGGATTGGGAATGGGATCCGGGTCAGATCCCAAGATCCCGACCCTCTGGATCACCACTGAGGCACAGGAATCGCCCTGGCTGTGCCCCGTCACCTGCGGGGAATGGAATGGAATGGGATTGGGAATTAGGATCAGGTGAGATCTCAAGAACTTGAGCCTCTGGATCATCCCAGAGCTCCTCAAGGTGGGATTGAGATGGCAATCTGAGTAAGATCCCAAAATCCCGACCCTCTGGATCATCCCAGGGCTCCTCAAGGTGGGAATGGGACTGGGATTGGGACCTGGGTGAGATCCTGAAATCCCGACCCTCTGGATCACCACTGAGGCCCAGGAATCGCCCTTGCCGTGCCACGTCACCTGTGTCACCGGCTGGGAATGGAATGGGATTGGGATCGGGATCAGGAACGGGATCTGGGTGAGATCCCAAAATCCCGACCCTCTGGATCACCATGGAGACCCTGGCTGTGCCATGTCACCTGCATCACCAGCTGGGAATGGAATGGGAACGGGAATTGGGTCAGATCCTGAAATCCCGACCCTCTGGATCAACATCAGGGCCCAGTAGTCACCCGTGCCGTGCCACGTCACCTGCGTCACCGGCTGGGAATGGGATTGGGATCAGAAATGGGATCAGGAATGGGATGCAGGTGAGATCCCAACCCTCTGAATCATCCTGGAGCTCCTCAGGATGGGAATGCGAATGGGATTGCCATTGGGATCCAGGTGAGATCCCAAAATCCCGACCCTCTGGATCACCCCAGAGCTCCTTGGGGTGGGAATGGGATTGGGAATAGGAATGGGATCCAAGTGAGATCCCAAAATCCCGACCCTCTGGATCACCATGGAGGCCCGGGAACCGCCCTGGGTGTGCCGTGTCACCCGTGCCACCGGCTGGAACAGGATCGGGATTGGGAATGGGATTGGAACGGGATGGGAATGGGATTGGGATGGGAATGGGATAGGGATGAGAATGGGATCTGGGAGACATCCCAATCTTCTGGATCATCCTGAAGCTACTCGGGGTGGGAATGGGAATGGGAATGGGAATGGGATCTGGGGGAGACCCTGAGTTTCTGGATCATCCCAGAGCTCCTCGGGGTGGGAATGGGAACGGGAATGGGAACAGGAATTTGGTGGAATTCCGGGATTTGGGGCTTCGGGAAGCTGGGCAGGGACTGAGACCGAGGATTCCTGGGATAAGCTGGGAAAAGGGGCCGATCCCAGCTGGAATTCCTGCGGCTCCGGGAAACGTTCCGGGGGATCCCTGGAAAACGGGGCTGGGGAAAGGCTCCGGCACTGCCTGGGATTCCCGGGAATGGGAAGGGATCCCTCGGGATGTGGAGAGAGGGTCAGAATCCTTTTGGGATCCTTCCCTTGGGATACAGAGCAGGGAACAAGGATCCATTTGGGATTGTGTCCCTTGGGATGCAGATGTGGGAATGAGGCCCCTCCCAAGATCCCGGAGCAGAGACTGATCCATAAATCCCAAATCCTGGGAATACCAAGCCCAGCCAGATCCCGGGAATATTGATCCCACACAGATCCTGGGAATGTCGAGCCCACCCAGATTCCAGGAATGCCGATCCCACCCAGATCCAGGGAATGCCGATCCCACCCAGATCCTGGGAATGCTGATCCTAGCCAGATCCCAAGAACACTGATCCCAGCCGGATCCTGGGAATGCTGATCCCATCTGGATCCCAAGAACACAGATCCCATCCAGATCCTGGGAATGCCGATCCCACCTGAATCCTGGAACGCCGATTCCAGCCGTATCCCAGGAATTCTGATCCCAGCTGGATCCCAGGAATTCTGATCCCACCCAGATCCTGGAAATGCTGATCCCACCTAAACCCCAGGAATGCTGATCCCATCCAGATCCCAGGAATGCTGATCCCACACAAATCCCAAAAACATTGATCCCAGCCGGATGCCAGGAATGCTGATCCCACCCAGATCCTGGGAATGCTGATCCCAAGAACACCGATCCCACCCAGAGCCCGGGAATGCTGATCCCAGCTGGATCCCAGGAACGCCAATCCCAACCAGATCCCAAGAATGTTGATCCCGCCCAGATACTGGGAATGCCGATCCCACCCAGATCCTGGGAATGCTGATCCCATCTAGATCCCAGGAATACCGATCCTACCCGGATCCCAAAAATATCAATCCCACCCATATCCCAAGAACACCGATCCCAGCCAGATCCCGGGAATGGTGATCCTGGCCAGACCCCAAGAACACTGATCCCACCCGGATCCCGGGAATGCCAATCCCATCCAGATCCCAGGAATATCGATCCCACCCAGATCCTAGGGATGTTGATCCCAGCTGGATCCTGGGAACACCGATCCCACCCAGATCCTGGGAATGCTGATCCCACACAGATCCCAAAAAAAATGATCCCAGCGGGATCCCGGGAATACCAATCCCATCCAGATTGGGATCCCATCCCATCCAGCCCTGGTAATGCCAATCCCGCCCAAACGGTGGGAATGCTGATCCCATCCGGATCTCGGGAATGGTGATCCCACCCAGATCCCGGGAATGCTGATCCTGGCCAGATCCCAGGAATGCCAAGGCCACCCAGATCCCAAGAACACCGATCCCACCCAGATCCCAGGAATGCCGATCCCACCTGGATCCCGGAGATGCTGATCCCACCCGGATCCTGGGAACACCGAGCCCACCCAAATCCTGGGAATGCCGATCCCAGCCAGATCCCAGGGATTCCAATCCCAGACGGATCCCAGGAATGGTGAGCCCACCCAGATCCTGGGAATGCTGATCCCACCTGGATCCCAAGAACAATGATCCCACCCAGACCCCAGGAATGCCAATCCCATCCAGACCCCGGGAACACCGATCCCACCCAGATCCCGGGAATGCTGATCCTGGCCAGATTCCAGGAATGCCAAGACCACCCAGATCCCAAGAACACCGATCCCACCCAGATCCCGGGAATGCCGATGCCACCCAGATCCTGGGAATGCAAATCCCACCCCGATCTCAGGAACGTCGATCGCTGGGTGCCAATCCACCCCGGATCCCGGGAACGCCGATCCCAGCGGGATTTTGGGAAGGCGGGTCCCACCTTGCCGTGCTGCACCCTCAGGCGGATGCCCCGGGCGCGCTCCTCGGCGCCGGCCGGCTCCCAGCGCGCCGGCTGCGGCCGCTCCTCCTCCGGAGCCTGCCACGAGTCCAGCAGCTGATCCGTGCCCGACACCAGCAGCCGGTCCCCCAGGCCCGCGTTCACCAGGAGCACCTGCTCGTCCCTGGGAAATGGGAATTCGGGATCAGGGAATCCCATGGGATCAGGGGGAACCCTCTGGGATCAGGGAACCCTGCCCAGGAGCACGTGCTCATCCCTGGGAAATGGGGAACACGGGATCAGGGAATCCTATGGGATCAGGGGGAATTCTCTGGGATCAGGGAAACCATCCCAGGAGCACCTGCTCGTCCCTGGAACGGGAAACACGGGATCAGGGAATCCTCTGGGATCAGGGGGAATTCTCTGGGATCAGGGAAACCATCCCAGGAGCACCTGCTCGTCCCTGGAACGGGAAACACGGGATCAGGGAATCCTATGGGATCAGGGAATCCTCTGGGATCAGAGGGAATCCTCTGGGATCAGGGAAACCATCCCAGGACCAACTGCTCGTCCCTGGGAAATGGGAAAGACGGGATCAGGCGGAAATCTGGGAACCCCCTGGGATCAGGGAACCCTGCCCAGGAGCACCTGCTCATCCCTGGGAAATGGGGAACGCGGGATCAGGCGGAAATCTGGGATCAGGGAAACCATCCCAGGAGCACCTGCTCTTCCCTGGGAAATGGGAATTCGGGATCAAGGAATCCCATGGGATCAGGGGGAATCCTCTGGGATCAGGGAACCCTGCCCAGGAGCACCTGCTCATCCCTGGGAAATGGGGAACACGGGATCAGGGAATCCTCTGGGATCAGGGGGAATTCTCTGGGATCAGGGAAACCATCCCAGGAGCACCTGCTCGTCCCTGGAACGGGAAACACGGGATCAGGGAATCCTCTGGGATCAGAGGGAATCCTCTGGGATCAGGGAATTCCACCCAGGAGCACCTGCTCGTCCCTGGGAATGGGAAACGCGGGATCAGGGAATCCTCTGGGATCAGGGGGAATTCTCTGGGATCAGGGGGAATCCTCTGGGATCATGGAACCCTCCCCAGGAGCACCTGCTTGTCTGTGGGGAATGGGAAATCTGGGATCAAGGGGAATCCTCTGGGATCAGGGGAAGTCCAGGATCAGGGAATTCCTCCCAGGAGCACCTGCTCGTCCCTGGGAAATGGGGAACACGGGATCAGGGAATCCCATGGGATCGGGGGAATCCTCCCCAGGAGCACCTGCTCATCCCTGGGAAATGAGGAACACGGGATCAGGGGGAATCCTCTGGGATCAGGGAAACCATCCCAGGACCAACTGCTCGTCCCTGGGAAATGGGGAACGTGGGATCAGGGGGAAATCTGGGACCAGGGAATCCTCTGGGATCAGGGAATCCTCTGGGATCAGGGAACCCTCCCCAGGAGCACCTGCTCGTCCCTGGGAACGGGAAACGCGGGATCAGGGAATCCTGCGGGATCAGGGGGAATTCTCTGGGATCGGGGGAATTCTCTGGTATCAGGGGGAATCCTCTGGGATCATGGAACCCTCCCCAGGAGCACCTGCTCGTCTGTGGGGAATGGGAAATCTGGGATCAAGGGGAATCCTCTGGGATCAGGGGAAGTCCAGGATCAGGGAATTCCTCCCAGGAGCACCTGCTCGTCCCTGGGAAATGGGAATTCGGGATCAGGGAATCCCATGGGATCAGGGGGAACCCTCTGGGATCAGGGAACCCTGCCCAGGAGCACCTGCTCGTCCCTGGGAAATGGGGAACGCGGGATCAGGGGGAATCCTCTGGGATCAGAGGGAATTCTCTGGGATCAGGGGGAATCCTCCCCAGGACCACCTGCTCGTCCCTGGAACGGGAAACACGGGATCAGGGAATCCTCTGGGATCAGGGGGAATTCTCTGGGATCAGGGAATTCCACCCAGGAGCACCTGCTCGTCCCTGGGAACGGGAAACGCGGGATCAGGGAATCCTACGGGATCAGGGGGAATTCTCTGGGATCAGGGGGAATCCTCTGGGATCATGGAACCCTCCCCAGGAGCACCTGCTCGTCCGTGGGGAATGGGAAATCTGGGATCAAGGGGAATCCTCTGGGATCAGGGGAAGTCCAGGATCAGGGAATTCCTCCCAGGAGCACCTGCTCATCCCTGGGAAATGGGGAACACGGGATCAGGGAATCCTACGGGATCAGGGAATTCACCCCAGGGGCAGCTGCTCATCCCTGGGAAATGGGAAATCTGGGATCAGGGGGAATCCTCTGGGATCAAGGAATTCCCCCCAGGAGCACCTGCTCATCCCTGGGAATGAGAAATTTGGGAACAGGGAATCCTCTGGGATCAAGGAATCCTCCCCAGGAGCACCTGCTCATTCCTAAAGAATCTGAGATCAGGGGAAATCTGGGATCAAGGAATCCTCCCCAGGAGCTCATCCCTAGGGAATGGGATCAGGGAAATCCTGGATCAGGGAACCCTCCTGTGGGACGGGATTGGGCTGTTCTAAATTCAGGCACGGAATGAACTCTGGCAGAGGATCCGGGATCTCCAGAGGAAAACTGGGAATGATCCCTGGGGAATGATCCTGGGGGAAGGAACCCTGGGAACTCACACGATAATGGGATTGGGATTCCAGGGAAATCTGGGAATGATCCCTGGGAATGATCCATGGGGACTCACACGGCCACCAGGCAGATGCTGGGTTGGGGTTCCAGGGAAATCTGGGAATGTGGGAATGATCCCAGGGAAATCTGGGAATCTGGGAATGTGGGAATGCTCCAGGACACTCACACGGCCACGGCCACCAGGCAGATGGAGGGGTTGGGGTTCCAGGGAAATTTGGGAATCTGGGAATGTGGCAATGTCCCAGGACATGCACACGGCCACGGCCACGAGGCAGATGGAGGGGTTGGGATTCCAGGGAAATCTGGGAATGTGGGAATGTTCCAGGGAAATCTGGGAATCTGGGAATGTGGGAATGCTCCAGGACACTCACACGGCCAGGGCCACGAGGCAGATGGAGGGGTTGGAGTTCCAGGGAATGATCCCAGGGAAATCTGGGAATGATCCCAGGGGGAACTCACATGGCCATGGCCACCAGGCAGATGGAGGGGTTGGGAATGATCCCAGGGAAATCTGGGAATCTGGGAATGATCCCGGGCACTCACACGGCCACGGCCACCAGGCAGATGGAGGGGTTGGGGTTCCAGGGAAATTTGGGAATGTGGGAATGTGGCAATGTCCCAGGACATGCACACGGCCACGGCCATGAGGCAGATGGAGGGGTTGGGAATGTTCCAGGGAATGATCCCAGGGAAATTTGGGAATCTGGGAATGTCCCAGGGCACTCACACGGCCACGGCCACGAGGCAGATGGAGGGGTTGGGGTTCCAGGGAAATTTGGGAATCTGGGAATGTGGCAATGTCCCAGGACATGCACACGGCCACGGCCACCAGGCAGATGGAGGGGTTGGGGTTCCAGGGAAATCTGGGAATGTGGGAATGGTCCCGGGGCACTCACACGGCCACGGCCACCAGGCAGATGGAGGGGTTGGGAATGTTCCAGGGAATAATTCCAGGGAAATCTGGGAATGTGGGAATGGTCCCGGGACACTCACACGGCCACGGCCACCAGGCAGATGGAGGGGTTGGGGTTCCAGGGAATGATCCCAGGGAAATTTGGGAATGTGGGAATGTGGGAATGTCCCAGGGCACTCACACGGCCACGGCCACCAGGCAGATGGAGGGGTTGGGGTTCCAGGGAAATCTGGGAATGTGGGAATGGTCCCGGGACACTCACACGGCCACGGCCACCAGGCAGATGGAGGGGTTGGGGTTCCAGGGAAATTTGGGAATCTGGGAATGTCCCAGGGCACTCACACGGCCACGGCCACCAGGCAGATGGAGGGGTTGGGGTTCCAGGGAAATCTGGGAATGTGGGAATGTTCCAGGGAAATCTGGGAATCTGGGAATGTGGGAATGCTCCAGGACACTCACACGGCCAGGGCCACGAGGCAGATGGAAGGGTTGGGGTTCCAGGGAATGATCCCAGGGAAATCTGGGAATGCTCCAGGACACTCACACGGCCACGGCCACCAGGCAGATGGAGGGGTTGGGAATGATCCCAGGGAAATCTGGGAATCTGGGAATGATCTCGGGCACTCACACGGCCACGGCCACGAGGCAGATGGAGGGGTTGGGGTTCCAGGGAAATTTGGGAATGTGGGAATGTGGGAATGTCCCAGGACATGCACACGGCCACGGCCACGAGGCAGATGGAGGGGTTGGGAATGTTCCAGGGAATGATCCCAGGGAAATTTGGGAATCTGGGAATGTCCCAGGACACTCACACGGCCACGGCCACCAGGCAGATGGAGGGGTTGGGGTCCCAGGGAAATCTGGGAATGTGGGGAATGCTCCCAGGGCACTCACACGGCCACGGCCACGAGGCAGATGGAGGGGTTGGGAATGTTCCAGGGAATGATTCCAGGGAAATCTGGGAATGTGGGAATGGTCCCGGGGCACTCACACGGCCACGGCCACGAGGCAGATGGAGGGGTTGGGGTTCCAGGCCACGCTCTTGACCACGGATCCGACGGGCAGCGTGCGCAGGCAGCGCGCAGAGCTCACCTCCCAGAAACGCACCGTGCCGTCATCCGAGCCTGTGCGGGGAAACAGCGGGGTAACAGTGGGGAAACAACGGGGTAACAGCGGGGTAACAGCGGGGTAACAACGGGATAACAACAGGGTAACAGCGGGGAAACAACGGGGTAACAACGGGATAACAGCGGGGTAACAACGGGGTAACAGCGGGGTAACAGCGGGGAAACAACGGGGTAACAACGGGATAACAGCGGGGTAACAACGGGGTAACAGCGGGGTAACAGCGGGGTAACAACGGGGTAACAGCGGGGAAACAACGGGGTGACAAGGGGGTAACAACGGGATAACAACAGGGAAACAATGGGGTAACAACGGGATAACAGCAGGGTAACAGCGGGATAACAGCGGGGTAACAGCGGGGCAACAACGGGGTAACAACGGGATAACAGCGGTGCAACAACGGGGTAACAGCGGGGCAACAACGGGGTAACAACAGGGTAACAACGGGGTAACAACGGGGTAACAGCGGGGTAACAACAGGGTAACAGCGGGGTAACAGCGGGGTTACAACGGGGTAACAGCGGGGTAACAGCGGGGTAACAGCGGGGTAACAATGGGGTAACAGCGGGATAACAACAGGATAACAGCGGGGTAACAGCGGGGTAACAGCGGGGTAACAGCGGGGTTACAACGGGGTAACAACGGGGTAACAACGGGATAACAACGGGGTAACAGCGGGGTTACAACGGGGTAACAGCGGGGTAACAATGGGGTAACAGCGGGATAACAACAGGATAACAGCGGGGTAACAGCGGGGTAACAGCGGGGTAACAGCAGGGTAACAGCGGGGTAACAGCGGGGTAACAGCGGGGTAACAACGGGGTAACAGCGGGGCAACAGCGGGGTAACAGCGGTGCAACAACGGGGTTACAACGGGGTAACAACGGGATAACAGCGGGGTAACAGCGGGGTAACAGCGGGGTTACAACGGGGTAACAGCGGGATAACAACAGGATAACAGCGGGGTAACAGCGGGGTAACAGCGGGGTTACAACGGGGTAACAACGGGGTAACAACGGGATAACAACGGGGTAACAGCGGGGTTACAACGGGGTAACAGCGGGGTAACAATGGGGTAACAGCGGGATAACAACAGGATAACAGCGGGGTAACAGCGGGGTAACAGCGGGGTAACAGCAGGGTAACAGCGGGGTAACAGCGGGGTAACAGCGGGATAACAACAGGATAACAGCGGGGTAACAGCGGGGTAACAGCGGGGTAACAGCGGGGTTACAACGGGGTAACAACGGGGTAACAACGGGATAACAACGGGGTAACAGCGGGGTTACAACGGGGTAACAGCGGGGTAACAATGGGGTAACAGCGGGATAACAACAGGATAACAGCGGGGTAACAGCGGGGTAACAGCGGGGTAACAGCAGGGTAACAGCGGGGTAACAGCGGGGTAACAGCGGGGTAACAACGGGGTAACAGCGGGGCAACAGCGGGGTAACAGCGGGGTAACAGCGGGGTTACAACGGGGTAACAACGGGATAACAGCGGGGTAACAGCGGGGTAACAGCGGGGTTACAACGGGGTAACAGCGGGGTAACAACAGGATAACAGCGGGGTAACAACGGGGAAACAACGGGGTAACAGCAGGGTAACAGCGGGGTAACAGCGGGGTAACAACGGGGTAACAACGGGGAAACAACGGGGTAACAGCGGGGTTACAACGGGATAGAGGGGAGTAGGGAATGGGATAAGGGGATAATGGGATTGGGGATGGGAATGGGGATGGGATTGGGATAATGGAAATGGCATTATGGGAATGGGAATGGGATAATGTGATAATGAGGATGGGACAATGGGAATGGGGAGGGGGATGGCATAAGGGGATAATGGGATTGGGAATGTGATATTGGGAATGAGAATGGGAATAGGAATGGGAATGGGAATGCAGATGGGGATGGAAATGGGATAATGGGGGATGGGATAACGGGATTGGGAATGTGATAATGGGAATGGGAATGGGAATGCAGATGGGGATGGAAATGGGATAATGGGGGATGGGATAATGGGAATGGGATAATGGGAATGAAATTGGGGTTGGGATAAGGGGATAATGGGATTGGGAATGAGGATGGGATAAGGGGATAATGGGAATGAGGATGGGATTGGGATAATGGGAATGGGATAAAGAGACTGAGAATGGGGATGGCATAATCGGAATGTAATTGGGATTGGAATAAGAGGATACTGGAATAATGGAAATGGGAATAGGGATGGGATTCGGATAATGGGAATGGGGAGGGGATAATAGGAATGGGATAATGGGAATGGGGATGGGCATGGGATAACAGGAACGGGATAATGGGAATAGGACAATGGGATAATGAGGATGGGATAATGGGAATGGGGATGGGATAATGGGAATGGGGATGGGATAATGGGGATGGGATTGGGAATGGGAATGGGGATGGGACAATGAGATAATGAAGATGAGATAATCCATCATTCGAGGATGGGATAATGGGAATGGGGATGGGATAATGGGAATGGGATAATGGGTTAATGGGAATGGGATAATGGGAATGGGGATGGGATAATGGGAATGGGATTGGGAATGGGGATAGGAAGGGGATTCCCAGGAATGGGATTCCCAGGAATGGGAATGAGATTGCGAATGAGAGTGGAATGGGATTGGGATAATGGGAATCGGATAATGGAATAACAGAAATGGGATTAGGAATGGGAGGATGGGAATGGAAATGGGATAATGGGAATGCGATTTGGATTGGGAATGGGATAATGGGAATGGAGATGGGAATTGGATTGGGAATGGGGGATTGGGACCCCAGAATGGGATTGGGACCCCAGAGCAGCTGGAAAAGCTCTGGAGTTTTCCGGAGGCACCGCAGGACGGAGCCAATCCCGGGATCCTCCCCTGGAGCCAAGGTTGGGATTTTCCAGTGGGAAAAGCCCCGATCCCAACCCTGGCCCCGGAGCAGCTCTGGGTGGAGCTGGGCTGTGGATCCATGGGATTTATCCTGGGAATTCCCAATCCAGGGATGAATCCGTACCTGACACCAACCACTGCCCGCTGGGGGAGACGCTGATGGTCCGCACCAGGCTGGAATGGCCGCGGTAAATCTGGGAAAAAAAAACGGGAATGAGGGAGAATCCCAAATCCCAGGAGCTCCCGGGGAGCCTCCGGGAGCTGCTCCGGAATCCTCGGGAAGGGAGGAGGAATTTGGGATTTTGGGAAGGGAGGAGGAATTGGAATCTGGAGGGATCCCAAGACCAAGGCCACCCCATCCCACATCCACAGGGATGGGAATTCCAGGGAATGGGGATTCCAGACCAGAATTCCAGCCCTTTCCAGGGGAATATTCTTGAGAATCCCAGCCTGAGGACATTCCCTGGGAGCAGATCCCACCCTGGATCACTCTGGATTCCTTCAATCCCACTTTTCTCTGGGATGAGCTCCAACAGCTCCCTCAGGCACTCTCAGGAATCCCCTCATTCCCATTCCCAACCACGAACCCACCAAATCCCTGTTTGCCCCAAATTCCAGGGGAATATTCCCAAAAATCCCAACTTGATGACATTCCCTGGGTCCTGTCCCATTCCCTGGGAGCAGATCCCACCCTGGATCACTCTGGATTCCCTCAATCCCACTTTTCTCTGGGATGAGCCCCCCCAGATCCCTCAGCTGATCCTGGGAACTTCCCCCATTCCCATTCCCACCAAATCCCTGTGTGCCCCAAATTCCAGGGGAATATTCCCAAAAATCCCAACTTGAGCCCATTCCCTCTTTCCCCATCCCTTTTTCCCTGGGAGCAGATCCCAAACTCCACCTGGATCCCTTCAATCCCAATTTTCTCCGGGATGAGCCCCAACAGATCCCTCAGCCTCTCCCGGCAACTCCCCTATTCCCATTCCCACCAAATCCCTGTGTGCCCCACATTCCAGCTGGAATATCCCAAAAAAACCCCTCACCAGAGCCTGGGTGGTGGGGAATGGCTGCAGATCCCTCGGCCGGGGCAGTTTGGGGATGAGATCCTCGGGATCCACGTTGACCTGCGGGACGGACACCACACCAACAATCCCAGCTGCTCCTGACCCTCCGGCCGGGAATTCCGGCATTCCCGACCCAACGTTCCCGTTTTTTTTTGTGGGATCTGGGGTGCGCACCCTCATTTTGCGCTGGCGGGGGCAGAGGTAGAGGTCGAGGCAGCGCTCGAAGCGCTCGTGGATGAAGCGCGGGTAGGCGGGCACGGCGCGCAGGCTCGGGAAGCGCCGCGGGAGGAACGGCAGGCGCCGCTCCGACGGCTCCTGCTGCTGCCAGGCCAGCTCCTGCCGGGATAACAACAGCGGGAATGTGGGATAGTGGGGATTGGGATAATGATAATGGGGATGGGAATGGGAAACGGGGAATGGGGATGGGATTGGGAATGGGGAATGGGGAATGGGAAGCGCCGCGGGAGGAACGGCAGGCGCCGCTCCGACGGCTCCTGCTGCTGCCAGGCCAGCTCCTGCCGGGATAACAACAACGGGAATGTGGGATAGTGGGGATTGGGATAATGGGGAACGGGGAATGGGAAATGGGGAATGGGGAATGGGGAATGGGGAATGGGGAATGGGAAGCGCCGCGGGAGGAACGGCAGGCGCCGCTCCGACGGCTCCTGCTGCTGCCAGGCCAGCTCCTGACGGGATAACAACAACGGGAATGTGGGATAGTGGGGATTGGGATAATGGGGAACGGGGAATGGGAAATGGGGAATGGGGAATGGGGAATGGGGAATGGGGAATGGGAAGCGCCGCGGGAGGAACGCCAGGCGCCGCTCCGACGGCTCCTGCTGCTGCCAGGCCAGCTCCTGACGGGATAACAACAACGGGAATGTGGGAATGATGGGATAATGGGGATGGGGATAATGGGGATGGGGATAATGGGAATGGGGATGGGAATGGGAAACAGGGAACGGGGAATGGGGAATGGGAAGCGCCACGGGACAAAGCTCAGGCGCCGCTCCGACGGCTCCTGCTGCTGCCAGGTCAGCTCCTGACAGGATAAAAACAACAGCGGGAATGTGGGAATGATGGGATAATGGGGATGGGGATAATGGGGAATGGGGATGGGAATGGGAAATGGGGATGGGATAATGGGATAATAGGATTGGGAAAAATGGGAATGGGGAATGGGGAATGGGGAATGGGGATGGGATGGGATGCCCTGGGCTCGGGAAGAGCCATTCCCAAGGATCAGGATCACTCCCATCGGCCGCTCCTTGGCCAGGATTTCCCACCCTCCTCATCCTGTTGGGATCTTCCCATCCTGATCCCACTGGGATATTCCATCCTGATCCCACTGGGATATTCCATCCATCCCACTGGGATATTCCCACCCTGATCCCACTGGGATATTCCATCCTGATCCCACTGGGATATTCCCACCCTGATCCCACTGGGATATTCCATCCATCCCACTGGGATATTCCCACCCTGATCCCACTGGGATATTCCCACCCTGATCCCACTGGGATATTCCATCCTGATCCCACTGGGATATTCCCACCCTGATCCCACTGGGATATTCCATCCTGATCCCACTGGGATATTCCCACCCTGATCCCACTGGGATATTCCATCCTGATCCCACTGGGATATTCCATCCATCCCACTGGGATATTCCCACCCTGATCCCACTGGGATATTCCCACCCTGATCCCACTGGGATATTCCATCCATCCCACTGGGATATTCCATCCATCCTACTGGGATATTCCATCCATCCCACTGGGATATTCCATCCATCCCACTGGGATATTCCATCCATCCTACTGGGATATTCCATCCATCCCACTGGGATATTCCCACCTTGATCCCACTGGGATATTCCCACCCTACTCAGCCTCTCCCTCCTCATCCCACTGGAGCTTTTCCCATTGGGATTTCCCTGCCCATTTCCCCCCATCCATCCCCTCTGGATCCAAATTCCACTCCACAGCCTCTCCCAGTTATCCGGGGACACCCCAATCCCTGGGGAGCGACCCCAAATCTCCCTCCATTCCACAGGATCCGGGAATGCCCTGGGTGGGAATTCCGAGCTGATCCCATTCCATGGGCGGCGACAATTCCCAAAACTCCTCCCTGAGCAACGCCAGGGATGAAACATCCCACAGATTCCCTGGAAAAACTCCCTCCATTCCACGGGAACCTGGAATGCTCCGGGTGGGAATTCCGAGCTGATCCCACTCCATGAGCAGCGACAATTCCCAAAACTCATCCCTGGATGAAACTTCCCCAAAAATTCCCAGGAAAACCTCCCTCCATTCCACAGGATCCTGGAATTCTCCAGGTGGGAATCCCGAACTGATCCCATTCCACAGGCAGTGACAATTCCCAATTCCCCATTTCCATCCATGAAACACCCCACAAATTCCCTAGAAAAACACTCCCTCCATTCCACAGGAACCTGGAATGTTCCGTGTGGGAATTCCGAGCTGATCCCATTCCACGGGCAGCGACAACTCCCAAAACTCATCCTTGAGCAACCCCAGGGATGGAACATCCCACAAAAAATTCCCTGGAAAAACTCCCTCCATTCCACAGGAACCTGGAATTCTTTGGATGGAAATTTTGAGCTGATCCCAGTCCACAATTCCCAAAACTCATCCCTGAGCAGCCCCACGGATGAAACATCCCACAAATTCCCTGGAGAAACTCCCTCCATTCCACGGGAACCTGGAATTTTTTGGATGGGAATTCCGAGCTGATCCCACCCCATGGGCAGCGACAATTCCCAGTTCCCAATTCCCATCCATGAAACACCCCACAAATTCCCAGGAAAAAGTCCCTCCATTCCACGGAATCCTGGAATGCTCCGGGTGGGAATTCCGAGCTGATCCCATTCCATGGGCGGCAACAATTCCCAAAACTCATCCCTGAGCAATTTTCCCACAAAATTCCCTGGAAAAACTCCCTCCATTCCTCAGGAACCTGGAATGCTACGGGTGGGAAATCCAAGCCGATCCCACTCCACGGGCAGCGACAATTCCCAAAACTCCTCCCATCCATGAAACACCCCACAAATTCCCAGGAAAAAGTCCCTCCATCCCACAGGATCCTGGAATTCTTTGAGTGGGAATTCCGAGCTGATCCCACTCCATGGGCGGCGACAATTCCCAAAACTGAGCAATTTTCCCCCAAATTCCCTGGAAAAACCCTTCCAAACCCAACGTGATCCCCCCAAACCCCCACCACAGAGCGGCCCCGCGGGATCTCCCGGCGTTCCCGGCATTCCCCGGAGTTTCCCGGCGCTCCCACCTCCTCGGGGCTGAGCAGGAACTCCGGGGGCGGGTTGTAGGACTCGGCGTGCCCCGGCAGCGCCATTTTGGGCGCGGGCACGTGCATCTTGTGCCGGCCCAGCACCGAGTCGGGGTCCTCGCGCGCCCACAGGTCGTAGAAGGTGGGGGCGCTCTCCTTGGGCTTCCGCGGCTGGATCCAGCCCATCTTGATGGCGTGCACCAGCTTGGAGACCTGCGCGGCATTCCCGGGATTCGGGATGGGGCGGGAGGAGTTTTCCGTCCTCCTCATCCCATCGGAGCTGTTCCAGCCTCCTCAGCGTTCCATGGATCCTCCTGATCCCATCTGGATCTTCTTCCCAATCTCCTCATCCCACCAGGGCTTTTCCAGCCTCCTCAGCGTTCCATGGATCCTCCTGATCCCATCTGGATCTTTCCAATCTCCTCATCCCACCTGGGTCCTCCTCAGCTTTCCATGGATCCTCCTGATCCCATCTGGATCTTTCCAATCTCCTGACCCCACCTGGATCCTCCTCAGCTTTCCATGGATCCACCTGATCCCATCTGGATCTTTGCAATCTCCCCATCCCATCTGGATCTATCCATTCTCCTCATCCCATCTGGATCTTTCCATCCTCCGCATCCCAATGGAGCTGTTCCAGCCTCCTCAGCTTTCCATGGATCCACCTGATCCCATCAGGATCTTCCCAATCTCCTCATCCCACCTGGATCCTCCTCAGCTTTTCATGGATGCTCCTGATCCCATCTGGATCTTCCCAATCTCCTCATCCCACCAGAGCTTTCCCACCCTCCTCAGCTTTCCACAGATCCTCCTGATCCCACCTGGGTCTTTCCACCTTCCCCATCCCACCTGGATCTTCCCAATCTCCTGATCCCACCACGATCTTTCCATCATCTTCATCCCACCTGGATCTTCCCCATCTCCTCATCCCATCAGAGCTTTTCCAGCCTCTTCAGCTTGCCATGGATCCTCCTGATCCCACCGGGATCTTTCCAATCTCCTAATCCCAACTGAATCTTTCCATCCTCCTCATCCCACTGGGATCTTTCCAACCTTCTCATCCCATCTGGATCTTCCATCCTCCGCATCCCAATGGAGCTGTTCCAGCCTCCTCAGCTTTCCATGGATCCACCTGATCCCACCTGGATCTTTCCAATCTCCTCATCCCACCTGGATCTTTCCAACCTCTTCATTCAACCAGGATCTTCCTCATCTTCTCATCCCACCAGGATCTCTCCACCCTCTCCATCCCACCAGGATCTTCCCAATCTCCTGATCCCACCTGGATCTTTCTGGTTTCCCCATCCCACCAGAGCTTTTCCACCCTCCTCATTCCAATGGGATCTTTCCAATCTCCCCATCCCACTGGGATCTTCCCATCCTACTCATCCCACCGGAGCTTTTCCAGCCTCCTCAGCTTTCCACGGACCCTCCTGATCCCACCTGGATCTTTGCAATCTCCTCATCCCAACTGGATCCTTCCAATCTCCTGATCCCACCTGGATCCTCCTCAGCTTTCCATGGATCCACCTGATCCCATCTGGATCTTTGCAATCTCCCCATCCCATCTGGGTGTTTCCATCCTCCCCATCCCATCTGGATCTTTCCATCCTCTGCATCCCAATGGAGCTGTTCCAGCCTCCTCAGCTTTCCACGGACCCTCCTGATCCCACCTGGATCTTTCCAATCTCCCCATCCCACCAGGATCATTCCAATCCCTTCAATCCACTGGGATCTTTTCATCCTTATCAGCTTTTCCACCCTCCTGATCCCACCAGGATCTTCCTAATCTCCTGATCCCACCAGGATCTTTCCATCCTCCTGATCCCACCAGGATCTTCCCAATCTCCTGATCCCATACGGATCTTTCCAATCTCCCAATTCCACCTGGATCTTTCCATCCTCCTGATCCCACCAGGATCTTTCCATCCTCTTCACCCAACCAAGATCTTTCCAATCTCCTCATCCCATCGGGATTTTTCCATCCTCTTCATCCTTTTCCACCCTTCCCATCTCACCATGATCTTCCCAATCTCCCCATCCCACCAGGATCCTTCCAATCTCCTGATCCCACTGGAGCTTTTCCACCCTCCCAATCCCACCGGGATCTTCCCACCCTCCTGATCCCACCGGGATCTCTGCCCGGAATTCCGGCCTCTCTCCCACCTTTTCCTTCTCCACCAGGGAGGGGATGAAGCTCCGTTTGTCCGCGGGCCGGTTGGTCACCGGGTGGATCCGCACCTCGTGGGTGAAGAAATCCACGGACGGCTGGAAAAACGGGGATGCTCAGTGCCCAGCCCGCATTCCCGGCGGGAATTCCAGCAATGGGGCCTTCCCTCCCACATTCCCAATGAGAATTCCACCCCCACATTCCCAATGGGAATTCCAGCCCCAGGACCTCCCCTCCCACATTCCCAATGGGAATTCTGCCCCCAGGATCTTCCCTTGGGCATTCCCGGTTGGAATTCCAGCCCTGAGGCCTCTTCTTCCACATTCCCAGTGGGAATTCCGAACTCCACCCCCGGGACCTCCCCTTCCAGCATTCCTGGTGGGAATTCCATCCCTGGGGGCTTCACCTCCCACATTCCCAAGGAGAATTCCACCCCCACATTCCCAACGGGAATTCCAGCCCTGGGGCCTCACCACCCACATTCCCAGTGGGAAGTTTGCCCCTGAGGCCTCCCCTTGGGCATTCCTGATGGGAATTCCAAGCCCAGGGCATCACCACCTCCATTCCCAATGGGAATTCTATCCCTGGGGCCTCCTCTCCTGCATTCCCAGTGGGAATTCCATTCCTAGGGCCTCCCCACGGGCATTCCCACTGGGAATCCCACCCCATTCCCTTTAGGAATCCCGCCCTGTTCCCTTTGGGAATCCCGCCCCGTTCCGTTTGGGAATCCCGCCCCATTCCCAGTGGGAATCCCGCCCCATTCCCAGTGGGAATCCCGCCCCGATCCCCCGTTCCCCACGGGGCCGGGCGGGGGTCCCTGCCCCACCTCGTAGGGGTCGAAGTTGACGTCCCCAAAGTGCCCCCGCTGCAGGCGCTGCACCAGCTCCAGCTGCTCCTCCGACAGACACAGCTCGGCCCCCGTCTGAGGGTCCTGCACCGTGCGCCTGGGACGGACAGACAGACAGACACACGGATGGACACACGGACACACACAGATACAGACACAGCTCCGCCCCCGTCTGACGGTCCTGCACCGTGCGCCTGGGACGGACAGACAGACGGACAGATGGACACACGGACACACACAGATACAGACACAGCTCGGCCCCCGTCTGACGGTCCTGCACCGTGCGCCTGGGACGGACAGACAGACAGACAGATGGACACACACAGATATAGACACAGCTCCGCACCCGTCTGAGGGTCCTGCACCGTGCGCCTGGGACGGACAGACAGATGGACACACGGATGGACACACGGATACAGACACAGCTCGGCCCCCGTCTGACGGTCCTGCACCGTGCGCCTGGGACGGACAGACAGACGGACACACGGATGGACACACGGATACAGACACAGCTCCGCCCCCGTCTGAGGGTCCTGCACCGTGCGCCTGGGACGGACAGACAGATGGACAGATGGACACACACAGATATAGACACAGCTCCGCACCCGTCTGAGGGTCCTGCACCGTGCGCCTGGGACGGACAGACAGACGGACAGATGGACACACACAGATATAGACACAGCTCCGCACCCGTCTGAGGGTCCTGCACCGTGCGCCTGGGACGGACAGACAGACGGACAGATGGACACACGGACACACGGATACAGACACAGCTCCGCACCCGTCTGAGGGTCCTGCACCGTGCGCCTGGGACGGACAGACAGACGGACACATGGATGGACACACGGATACAGACACAGCTCCGCACCCGTCTGAGGGTCCTGCACCGTGCGCCTACAGATGGACAGACGGACGGACAGACGGATGGACACACGGATACATGGATGGACACACACAGATACAGACACAGCTCCGCACCCGTCTGAGGGTCCTGCACCGTGCGCCTGGGACGGACAGACAGACGGACACATGGACACACGGACACATGGATGGACACACACAGATACAGACACAGCTCCGCACCCGTCTGAGGGTCCTGCACCGTGCGCCTACAGATGGACAGACGGACATGGATAGATGGACACACGGACACACACAGATACAGACACAGCTCCGCCCCCATCTGACGGTCCTTCACCGTGCGCCTGGGACAGACAGATGGACACATGAACACACAGATGGACACACGGACACACACAGATACAGACACAGCTCCGCGCCTGTCTGATGGTCCTGCACCGTGCGCCTACGGACAGACAGACGGACGGACAGATGGATGGACACATGGACACATGGACAGACACAGCTCCGCGCCCATCTGAGGGTCCTGCACCGTGCGCCTGGGACAGACGGACACATGGACGGACACATGGACACATGGACAGGCACAGTTCAGCCCCCGTCTGACGGTCCTGCACCGTGCGCCTGGGATGGACAGACAGACGGACAGAGAGATGGACACACACGGATGGACACATGGACACACGGATGCAGACACACCTCTGCGCCCGTCTGACGGCCCTGCACCGTGCGTCTGCACACGGACGGACACACGGACACGTGGACATGTTGGGGACACCGGGACGTGGGACATAGGATGGGGGACAGGGATGTGGGACACAGGGATGGACACCAGGACGGACAGCGGGATATGGGACATGGGGATGGACACCGGGATACGGACACTGGGATGGACACTGGGATATGGACATCGGAATCCTGGGATGGACACCAGGATGTGGGACATGGGGGTGGACACTGGGATGTGAAACACCAGGATGGACACAGGGATGGACACAGGGATGTGGGACAGGGATGGACACTGGGATGGACACAGGGATGGACACAGGGATGTGGGACAGGGATGGACACTGGGATGGACACAGGGATGGACACAGGGATGGGGGACACAGGGATGGACACCAGAATGGACACAGGGATGGACACAGGGATGGGGGACACAGGGATGGACACTGGGATGGACACAGGGATGGGGGATAGGGATGGACACTGGGATGGACACAGGGATGGACACCAGAAGGGACACAGGGATAGACACAGGGATGGGGGACACAGGGATGGACACAGGGATGGACACAGGGATGGGGGACACAGGGATGGACACAGGGATGGACACAGGGATGTGGGACAGGGATGGACACCAGAATGGACACAGGGATGGGGGACACAGGGATGGACACCAGGATGGACACAGGGATAGACACAGGGATGGGGGACACAGGGATGGACACCAGGATGGACACAGGGATGGGGGATAGGGATGGACACTGGGATGGACACAGGGATGGACACCAGGATGGACACAGGGATGTGGGACAGGGATGGACACTGGGATGACACAGGGATGGACACAGGGATGGGGGACACAGGGATGGACACCAGAATGGACACAGGGATAGACACAGGGATGGGGGACACAGGGATGGACACTGGGATGGACACAGGGATGGGGGACACAGGGATGGACACCAGGATGGACACAGGGATGGGGGACACAGGGATGGACACCAGGATGGACACAGGGATGGGGGATAGGGATGGACACTGGGATGGACACAGGGATGGACACCAGGATGGACACAGGGATGTGGGACAGGGATGGACACTGGGATGGACACAGGGATGGACACAGGGATGGGGGGACACAGGGATGGACACCCAGAATGGACACAGGGATAGACACAGGGATGGGGGACACAGGGATGGGACACTGGATGGACACAGGGATGGGGGACACAGGGGATGGACACCAGGATGGACACAGGGATGGGGGACACAGGGATGGACACCAGGATGGACACAGGGATGGGGGATAGGGATGGACACTGGATGGACACAGGGATGGACACAGGGATGGGGGACACAGGGGATGGACACCAGGATGGACACAGGGATGGGGGATAGGGATGGCACTGGGATGGACACAGGATGGACACAGGGATGGGGGACACAGGGATGGACACAGGGATGGACACAGGGATGTGGGACAGGGATGGACACCAGAATGGACACAGGGATGGGGACACAGGGATGGACACCAGGATGGACACGGGATAGACACAGGGATGGGGGACACAGGGGATGGACACCAGGATGGACACAGGGATGGGGGATAGGGATGGACACTGGGATGGACACAGGGATGGACACCAGGATGGACACAGGGATGTGGGACAGGGATGGACACTGGGATGGACACAGGGATGGACACAGGGATGGGGGACACAGGGATGGACACCAGAATGGACACAGGGATAGACACAGGGATGGGGGACACAGGGGATGGACACTGGGATGGACACAGGGATGGGGGACACAGGGATGGACACCAGGATGGACACAGGGATGGGGGACACAGGGATGGACACCAGGATGGACACAGGGATGGGGGATAGGGATGGACACTGGGATGGACACAGGGATGGACACAGGGATGGGGGACACAGGGATGGACACCAGGATGGACACAGGGATGGGGGATAGGGATGGACACTGGGATGGACACAGGGATGGACACAGGGATGGGGGACACAGGGATGGACACCAGGATGGACACAGGGATGGGGGATAGGGATGGACACTGGGATGGACACAGGGATGGAGGACAGGGATGGGGGACACAGGGATGGACACTGGGATGGATACTGGGATGGACGACACTGGGATGGACGACACTGGGATGGACGACACTGGGATGGACACCAGGATGGACACAGGGATGGGAGATAGGGATGGACACTGGGATGGACACAGGTATGGGGGACACTGGGATGGACACTGGGATGGACACGGGGATGGACATGGGGATGGACATGGAGGGGACACAGGGATGGACACAAGGATATGGACATCAGAATCCCGGGATGGACATTGGGATGGACACCAGGATGGACACAGGATGTGGGACAGGGATGGGGGACACGGGGATGGACACTGCGATGGACACGGGGTTGGACACCAGGATATGGACACCAGGATATGGACATTGGAATCTCGGGATGGACCCAGGGATATGGACACTGAGATGGACACTGGGATGGGGGACACCAGGATATGGACACTGGGATGGACCCAGGGATGGACACCAGGATGGACACTGGGATGCTGGACACAGGAATCCTGGGATGGATGTGGGGATGGACACCGGCACAGACACTGGGATATGGACACCAGAATCCCAGGATGGACACTGGGACAGACACCAGGATATGGACACCAGAATCCCAGGATGGACACCAGGACGGACACCGGGATATGGACACCGGGATGGGGGACACAGAGATATGAACTCCAGAATCCCGGGATGGACGTGCGGATGGACACCGGGATGGACACCGGGATGGACATGGGGATGTGGGACATTGGGATGGACATGGGGATGGACACCAGGATGGACACAGGTGGGGATGGACACAGGGATGGACATGGGGATGCGAGACACAGAGATGGATAAGGAGATGGACACCAGAATGGATACAGGGACGTGGGACACGGGGATGGACACTGGGACAGGGACACAGGAATCCCGAGATGGACACCAGGATGGACACCAGGATGGACACAGGGATGGATACAGGGATGGACAGCGGGATATGGGACATGGGGATGGACACGGGGATGGACACAGGGATGGACATGGGGATAGGGGACAGGGGGATGGACACAGGGATGGACACGGGGATGGACACGGGGATGGACGTGGGGATGGACGTGCGGATGGACACCGGGATGGACACGGGGATGGACGTGGGGATGGACATGGGGATGGACACGGGGATGGACACAGGGATGGACACGGGGATGGACGTGGGGATGGACACAGGGATGGACACGGGGATGGACACGGGGATGGACGTGGGGATGGACACAGGGATGGACACGGGGATGGACACGGGGATGGACACAGGGATGGACACGGGGATGGACACAGGGATATGGACACGGGGATACGCACACTGGAATCCTGGGATGGACACGGGGATGTGGGACAGGGATGGACACCAGGATGGACAGCGGGGTGGACACCGGGATGTGGGGGACAGGGATGGACATGGTGATGGACACTGGGAAGTGGGACACCAGGATATGGCACACAGGATGGGTGACATGGGGATGTGGGACATCGGGATGTGGGACATGAGGATGGACACTAGGATGGACACTTGGACAGACACCAGGATGGACACAGGGATGGACACAGGGATGGACACGGGGATGTGAGACACAGAGACGGACACGGGGGTGGACTCCAGGATGGACATGAGGATGGACACAGGGATGGACACAGGGATGGACATGGGGATGTGAGACACAGAGATGGACATGGGGGTGGACACCAGGATGGACACGAGGATGGACACAGGGACTCCGGGATATGGGACAGAATTCCTGGGATATGGGACAGGATTCCCAGGATGGACAGGGACTTCCAGGATCAGGACAGGAATGGACAGGGAGTCCTGGGATGGACATGGATTTCTGGAATGCAGAGGGATTCCCGGGATGCAGATGAGGATGGATGGGAGGGAGGAAGGCTCCGTGCCCAATCCCAAACCCACACATCCAGAATCACCCTGGAAAACCTCAGGAAGGCTCCAGAGCCCCGAATTCCAGGAATTTTGGGAACTCCCAGCCCACACAAACCCCACGGGCGGAGCACATCCATGGAATCCCGGAATTCTTTGGGATTTTAAGGCTCATCCCCATCCCGTGGGACACCTCCCGCTATCCCAGGGTTTTTCCAGGCCCCTTCCTGGGAATTCCTCACCAGTATTCCGGGTTTTCCATCTTCTCCAGGAACAGGTCCAGCTCGTCCTTGCTCCTCAGGGGTTTGTAGATCTTCTTCCCGTCCAGGTCGTAGCCGATGTGCGGGAAATCCTGGTACCATTCCATGGGAATGTTCCCCACCGTATTCCGGATGTCCTGCAGGGAAAAAGCGCCGGGAAAAGGGTGAGGGGAGGGCGGGGAATTCCAGGGAATCCTTGGAAGAAAAGGGTGAGAGAATTCCAGGGAATCCTTGGAAGAAAAGGGTGAGATAATTCCAGGGAATCCTTGGAGGAAATGGTGAGGGAATTCCAGGGAATCCTTGGAGGAAATGGTGAGGGAATTCCAGGGAATGCTTGGGGGAAATGGTGAGGGAATTCCAGGGAATGCTTGGGGGAAAGGGTGAGGGAATTCCAGGGAATGCTTGGGGAAAAGGGTGAGATAATTCCAGGGAATCCTTGGAAGAAAAGGTGAGGGAATTCCAGGGAATTCTTGGAGGAAAGGGTGAGGGAATTCCCTGGATTCTGGGTGCAATTCCACAGATTTTGGCTGCAATTCCACGGATTTTGGGACTCCCCGTGCCCCCAACCTCTGCCCAAGACCATCTCCACATCCCTGGCTGCAATTCCATGGATTTTGTCTGCAATTCCAAGGATTTTGGGACTCCTGTGCCCCCGGACTCTGCCCACGACCATCTCCACATCCCTGGCTGCAATTCCACAGATTTTGGCTTTGATCCCACAGATTTTGGCTGCAATTCCAAGGATTTTGGGACTCCCTGTGCCCCCAACCTCTGCCCACAACCGTCTCCACATCCCTGGCTTCATCTCCACCGATTTTGGCTGCAATTCCAAGGATTTTGGGACTCCCCGTGCCCCCAACCTCTGCCCATGAACATCTCCACATCCCTGGCTGCAATTCCATGGATTTTGTCTGCAATTCCAAGGATTTTGGGACTCCCTGTGCCCCCAACCTCTGCCCACGACCATCTCCACATCCCTGGCTGCTTTTCCACAGATTTTGGCTGCAATTCCACGGATTTTGGCTGCAATTCCAAGGATTTTGGGACTCCTGTGCCCCCAACCTCTGCCCATGACTATCTCCACATCCCTGGCTGCTTTTCCACAGATTTTGGCTGCATTTCCACAGATTTTGGCTGCAATTCCACGGATTTTGGCTGCAATTCCACGGATTTTGGCTGCGATCTCACAGATTTTGGGACTCCCCGTGCCCCCATCCTCTGCCCAGGACCATCTCCACATCCCTGGCTTCATTTCCACAGATCCTGGCTGCAATTCTACGGATTTTGGCAGCGATCCCACAGACTTTGGCCGCAATCCCGCAGATTCTGGCCGCAATCCCATAAATTCTGGCCGCAACCCCGCAGATTTTGGCCGCAATCCCGCAGATTCTGGCCGCAATCCCGCGGGTTTCGGGACTCCCTTCGCCCCCATCTCATCCCAGAGACCCCCTCTCTGCCCCCGTGCGGGGATCACTCCGCACCCGGGGCCGGGCCGGGCTCGGCGGGCTCCGTCCCCTTTCCCGGGAACGCTGCCGGGGCCAGGATCGGGCTCGGGCTGGGGATAAACGAAAGCAGATGGCGGCGGGAGCTTCCAGAGGGCCGGCAGGGGGATGATGACAGAGCTTGGGTTTCGGAAGCTGCCGAGACAGGGATTAAGTGCGGGAGCGCACGGAAGGTGCCGCGCTCCGGCCGGCAGCGGGAGCGAACCTCCCGCGCGGAGCTCCTGGGAGGCGCCGCTGCAAAAGCGGGGGGAGCTCCAAGGAGGAAAAAACGCCGGAAAAACGCGGCCGTTCCCGGGGTTTTTCCAGCTGGAAATGCTGGATTTCCTCGGGGATTCATGGAGTTTCGGAGGGGGGTGGGATAATGCAGCTCGGAGCTGCGGGGATTCCCAGGTGGATCGCGGGAATCATGCAGGGAAATCCCGGGGGATCCCGGAGGCTTTTCCAGGGTTTTTTTTCTGGGAGAGCCGCAGAGGGGTTTGGGATGCAGCACCCGGGGAATGGCTCCCCGTGGAAGACAGGGATTTTGGGATGGAGTTCCCAGAGAATCCGGGGCTGCTCCATCCCTGGGATATCGGGAATGGGACAGGCAATGACACCTGACACCTCTGGAATTTCCATGCCACGATTCCCTCCTGGCTCGCCCCGGGCAGGGAATTCCAGCAAATCCCAGCGGCGGCTCCTCAAGGGTTAATTCCCAATTCCCGGGAGCAACGGGAAAGAGAAGGGATCGGGATAAATCCCAATTCCCAACGGGAATTCCGCGGGAATGGGAAGGAGGAGGTTACAGGGATGGCGGTACAGCGCCAGCGGTGCCATCCCGGCATGGAAAACCCTCCGGGAATCCTCGGGATCACCGGGAATGTCGTGGGCAGAGAATTCCCTCGGCTCCGGGCGCTCCCGGAATTCCAGAGGGATCCCAGAGTCCCCCCCTCCGGGAATTTCGGGACTGGGACAAGGGAATTCATGGGGAAAAACGGGAAAGGAGCAGCGAATTCCCCGGGAATGTGGTGAATCCCGGGTGGGGGCGGGAGGGGAAATTCCAGAGGGATCCCAGAGTCCCCCCCTCCGGGAATTTCGGGACTGGGACAAGGGAATTCATGGGGAAAAACGGGAAAGGAGCAGCGAACTCCCCGGGAATGTGGTGAATCCCGGGTGGGGGCGGGAGGGGAAATTCCAGAGGGATCCCAGAGTCCCCCCCCTCCGGGAATTTCGGGATCGGGACAGGGGAATTCATGGGGAAAAACGGGAAAGAGGACGCGAATCCCGGAGGAAGGGGAAATTCCAGAGGGATCCCAGAGCTGCCCCCGGGAACTCCGGGGCTGGGACAAGGGAATTTATGGGGAAAACCGGGAAAGGGGCAGCGAATCCCGGGTGGGGTGCGGGATTCCAAAGGGATCGCAGAGCCCCTCCTCGGGAACTCCGGTGAACTTCGGGATGAGGGAATTTATGGGGAGAACAGGTTGGGGGCGAAAGGAAAAGCGGCAGAGGAGCGGCGAAGGGGTTGAACGCGAAGGGGTTAAAGGCGGCGCGGAGGGTGAGCTCAGGTAGGCCGGGCCTGGGGCTCCCCTTTCCGAGGGCTCCTTTTCCAAGGGAGCCGGGCCCGGAGGAGGGGCCGGGCCGGGCCGGGCCGCCCATTCCCGCCGCTATAAAAACCCCGCAATTCCAGCCCGCGGCTCCCGGTGGATGCGCACGTGCGCCGGGAGCGGCGGCGGCGAGCCCCAAAACCGGGAATAAACCGGGATAAACCCCCCCCCCCCCAAAAAAAAAACCCAAACAAACCGGGATAAAAACCCGCAAACCCGCGATAAACGCGCGATCAAACCCCGCGGCCACCGGGGTAAAGCAGCGCGATAAAACCCCTAAAAAGCGACATAAAGGCGGGGTAAAAGCGGGAGAAAAGCGGGATAAAAGTCCTAAAACCCGGGATAGAAGCGGGATAAAAGCCCTCAGAGCGGATCGGCGAGAGCCATGAGCGGCCGGAGCTGAGCGTCGCCGGCTCTCCAGCGGCTTTTCCAGCCATGTCCTTCGCCATGCTGCGCTCGGCGCCGGGGCGCTTCCTGTACCCCGAGATCAGCGCGCTGTCCGAGGACGAGGAGAACAGCGAGAGCTCGGGCTCGGAGGAGAAGCCCTTCCACGTGGAGGGCGACGCGTTCGGCGTGCGGGGCGGCAAGCGGCGGCCCGGCAAGAGCCGCGGGCGGCTGGCGCGGGAGCCGCGGCAGCGGCACACGGCGAACGCCCGCGAGCGGGACCGCACCAACTCGGTGAACACGGCGTTCACGGCGCTGCGCACGCTCATCCCCACCGAGCCGGCCGACAGGAAGCTCTCCAAGATCGAGACGCTGCGCCTCGCCTCCAGCTACATCTCGCACCTGGGCAACGTGCTGCTGCTCGGCGACGCGGGCGGCGGAGGGCAGCCGTGCCACGGGGCGGCGGCGGCGGCGGCGGCGGCGGCGGGGCCCGGAGCGGCGGCGGCAGCGGCGGCGGCGGCGGCGGCGGCGGCGGCGGCGGCGTTCTGCGGCGGAGGGAGCGCGTCCCCGCCCGGGCGGGAGAGCGAGAGCGGGCAGCCGCGGCAGATCTGCACCTTCTGCCTCAGCAACCAGCGCAAAATGGTGAGTGCGATAACAGGAACGGGGTCCGGGATAGCGGGAATGGGAATCACGGGGTGCCCAGCCGCGGCAGATCCGCACCTTCTGCCTCGGCAACCAGCGCAAAATGGTGAGTGCGATAACAGGAATGGGGTCCGGGATAGCGGGAATGGGAATCACGGGGTGCCCAGCCGCGGCAGATCCGCACCTTCTGCCTCGGCAACCAGCGCAAAATGGTGAGTGCGATAACAGGAATGGGGTCCGGGATAGCGGGAATGGGAATCACGGGGTGCCCAGCCGCGGCAGATCCGCACCTTCTGCCTCGGCAACCAGCGCAAAATGGTGAGTGCGATAACAGGAACGGGGTCCGGGATAGCGGGAATGGGAATCACGGGGTGCCCAGCCGCGGCAGATCCGCACCTTCTGCCTCGGCAACCAGCGCAAAATGGTGAGCGGTGGTGATTGGGATACCGGGAATAACGGGAATAGTGGGAATACTGGGCTCCGGGATAGCGGGAACGGAGTCCGGGATAGCGGGAATGGGGATCCCGGGATGCCCAGCCCCGGCAGATCTGCACCTTCTGCCTCGGCAACCAGCGCAAAATGGTGAGTGATGCCGGGAATAACGGGGATAGTGGGGATACTGGGGTCCGGGATAGCGGGAACGGGGTCCGGGATAGCGGGAATGGGGATCCCGGGATGCCCAGCCCCGGCAGATCGGCACCTTCTGCCTCAGCAACCAGCGCAAAATGGCGAGCGGTGGTCATGGATATATTGGTGATAATGGGAATAATGGGGATAATGGGGTCTGGGATAGCGGGAATGGGCTCCGGGATAGCGGGAATGCCGCGGGGATAGCGGGAATAGGGAGCAGGACGGGGATGCCCAGCCCCGGCAGATCTGCACCTTCTGCCTCGGAAACCAGCGCAAAATGGTGAGTGGTGGTGCTGGGAATAACGGAGATAAAGGGGATAAATGGGGTCCAGGATAGCGGGAATGGGGTCCAGGATAGCTGGAATTCTGCAGGGATAGAGGGAAGGGGGAGCAGGATACCGGGAATGCACCTTCTGCCTCGGAAACCAGCGCAAAATGGTGAGTGATGGTGCTGGGAATACCGGGGCTAACGGGAATATCGGGGGATTTGGGAATCGCGGGGTGCCCAGCCCCGGCAGATCGGCACCCTCTGCCTCAGCAACCAGCGCAAAATGGTGAGTTTGGGATAGAAGGAATGGGGACCAGGATAAGGGGAATGGGGTCCCGGATAGCGGGAATGCCGTGGGGATAGAGGGAATAGGGAGCAGGATACCAGGAATGAGGGATTTAGGAATCCTGGGATGCCCAGCCCCGGCAGATCTGCACCTTCTGCCTCGGAAACCAGCGCAAAATGGTGAGTGGAGGTGCTGGGAATAACGGGAATAACTGGAATAACGGGGTGCTGGATAGCAGGAATAGGGTCCAGGATAGCTGGAATTCTGCAGGGATAGAGGGAATGGGGATTGGGATTTGGGAATCGCGGGATGCCCAGCCGCGGCAGATCTGCGCCTTCTGATTTAGCAACCAGAGCAAAATGGTGAGTTTGGGACACAGGGAATGGGGACTGGGAATACTGGGAATGGGGAGCAGGATACCGGGAATGCCGCAGAGACAGAGGGAATGGGGAGAGGGATTTGGGAATTGTGGGATGTCCAGCCAGGGCAGATCAGCACCTGCCTCAGCAGCCAGAGGAAAATGGTGAATCTGGGAGAGTCTGGGATGCAGGGAATGGGATATTGGGATACTCGGAATGCCACAGGGAATGGGAACCAGGATACTGGGAATGGGGACTGGGATACTGGGAATACCGTGGGGATTGAGGGAAAGGTGGCTCGGGATTCAGGAATGAATCCCGCAGGGACGTGGGGAATTGTGTCCCAGGATTTGGGAATGTTGTGAGGGTGAAGGGAATGGGGAGCGGGATACTGGGAATGGGGACCGGGATACTGGGAATGGGGACTGGGATACTGGGAATACCGTGGGGATTGAGGGAAAGGTGGCTTGGGATTCGGGAATGAATCCCGCAGGGACGTGGGGAATTGTGTCCCAGGATTTGGGAATGTTGTGAGGGTGAAGGGAATGGGGAGCGGGATACTGGGAATGGGGAGCGGGATACTGGGAATGGGGACCGGGATACTGGGAATACCGTGGGGATTGAGGGAAAGGTGGCTTGGGATTCGGGAATGAATCCCGCAGGGACGTGGGGAATTGTGTCCCAGGATTCTGGAATGTTGTGAGGGTGAAGGGAATGGGGAGCGGGATACTGGGAATGGGGAATGGGATACTGGGAATGGGGACCGGGATACTGGGAATGGAGAATGGGATACTGGGAATGGGATACTTGGAATGCCACAGGAATTGAGAGAAAGGTGGCCCGGGATTCAGGAATGAATCCCACAGGGATAAAGGGGAACGGGGATTGGGATTTGGGAATGGAGGCTCCTGAGATGCGGGAATACCTCGGGGAATGGGGGCCGGGAGTTGGGAATGAATCCCGCAGGGATAAAAGGGAATGGGGGCTCCCAGGATTCGGGAATGAATTCCGCAGGGATAAAGGGGAACGGAGACTGGGATTTGGGAATGAATCCCACAGGGATAAAGGGGAACGGGGATTGGGATTTGGGAATGAATCCCGCAGGGATAAAAGGGAATGGGGGCTCCCAGGATTCAGGAATGAATTCCGCAGGGATAAAGGGGAACGGAGACTGGGATTTGGGAATGAATCCCACAGGGATAAAGGGGAACGGGGATTGGGATTTGGGAATGAATCCCACAGGGATGTGGGGAATTGTGTCCCAGGATTCTGGAATGTTGTGAGGGTGAAGGGAATGGGGACCAGGATTCGGGAATGAATCCTGCAGGGATAAAAGGGAATGGCGATTGGGATTCGGGAATGAATTCCGCAGGGATAAAGGGGAACGGAGATTGGGATTCGGGAATGAATCCCGCAGGGATAAAAGGGAACGGGGGCTCCCAGGATTCTGGATTCGGGCTGGGAATGAGGAGCTCCCGTGCAGAGGCACTGGGGCTTCCCAAAAAACCGGAGATTCCCGATCCCGGGAGGCAGGGAATTGTGTCCTGGGAATTCAGGAACGAATCCTGCAGGGAACTGAGTCCCGGGATCCGGGAATGCCGAGGGGATGAAGGGGATGGGGACCAGGATTTGGGATTTGGGATGGGAATGACGAGCTCTCGTGTGGGTTTTCCTGGAAAAGTGGCGATTCCCGGGTTTATCCAGGTGAAAATTCTGTTTGTTCCACTCCGAGGAGCAGCGGGATTCAGGGAATTGTGTGCCGGGAATTCGGGAATGAACCCCGTGGGGAATGGGGATTGGGAATTCAGGAATGAATCCTGTGGGGATTCAGGGAATTGTGTGCCGGGAATTCGGGAATGAACCCCGTGGGGATGTGGGGATTGGGAATTCAGGAATGAATCCTGTGGGGATTCAGGGAATTGTGTGCCGGGAATTCGGGAATGAACCCCGTGGGGATTCGGGGAATGGGGACTGGGAATTTGGGATCCACACTGGGAATGACAAGATCCCATCTGGGGGCTTCCCAAAAAAATGGCGATTCCCAGGTTTGTCCCAGCGATTCCTGGGTTTACCTCAGGGATTCCCAGTTTATCCCAGTGATTCCCTGATTTATCCCACTCATTCCCAGATTTATCCCAGCGGTTCCTGGGTTTATCCCAGGAATTCCCTGATTTGTCCCAGCGATTCCCAGTTTATCCCAGTGATTCCCAGTTTATCCCAGCGATTCCCAGTTTATCCCAGCGATTCCCTGATTTATCCCAGTGATTCCCGGGTTTATCCCAGTGTTTGCCCACTGCTGGGATCAGAGGCCAGAGGCGGCTCCAAAATCCACGGAAAATCCATGGAAAATCCATGGAAAATCCACAGAAATCCACAGAAAATCCACAAAAAATCCACAAAAAAATCAATGGAAAATCCACAGAAAATCCATGGAAAATCCATGGAAAAGCCTCTCTGGAGCCATGGGAAAAGGGACTGGGATTTGGGATTGGCTCCCAGTATTCCCAGTAACTCCATAACAGGATCCCAGTATTCCCAGTAACTCCATAACGGGATTCCCAGTATTCCCAGTAACTCCATACTGGGATCCCAGTATTCCCAGTAACTCCATAACGGGATTCCCAGTATTCCCAGTAACTCCATAATGGGGATCCCAGTATTCCCAGTAACTCCATAACGGGATTCCCAGTATTCCCAGTAACTCCGTAACGGGATTCCCAGTGCTCCCAGTAACTCCATATTGAGGATCCCAGTATTCCCAGTAACTCCATAATGGGATTCCCAGTATTCCCAGTAACTCCATAATGGGGATCCCAGTATTCCCAGTAACTCCATGACAGGATCCCCAGAATTCCCCGTTACTCCGTAACCAGGATCCCAGTATTCCCAGTAACTCCATAACAGGATTCCCAGTATTCCCAGTAACTCCGTAACGGGATTCCCAGTGCTCCCAGTAACTCCATATTGAGGATCCCAGTATTCCCAGTAACTCCATAATGGGATTCCCAGTATTCCCAGTAACTCCGTAACGGTGATCCCAGTCCCTGAGTGCCGGCACTCCCAGTTCCCAACCCCAGTGCTCCCAGTTCCCCCAGTGCCCCTGGATTTTGGGATTCCCTCTCCTCTCCTCATTCCCTGGATTTTGGAATTCCCTCTCTTTTCCTGATTGCCCGAATTTTGGGATTCCCTCTCTCTTGATTCCCTGGATTTTGGGATTCTCCGGATTTTGGGATTCCCTCTACTCTCCCAAATCCCTGGATTTTGGGATTTCCTGGATTTTAGAATTCCCTCTCCTCTCCCAATTCCCTGGATTTTCAGATTCCCCGGATTTTGGGATTCCCTTCCCTCTCCTGATTCCCTGGATTTTGGGATTCCCCAGAATTTGGGATTCCCCAGATTTTGGGATTCCCTTTCCTCTCCCAATTCCCTGGATTTGGGAATCACCAAACTCTGGGGT